TCAGACAGGCACAATTGTGAAGTGAGATCATGTCGGCCGACGATGGAGTCAACAGCAGTTTTAATTGCTGTGGCAACAGCAGTTTTAACTGCTGTGGCAACAGCAGTTTTAATTGCTGTGTCAACAGCAGTTTTAATTCCTGTGTCAACAGCAGTTTTGATTTCTGTGTCAACAAAAGTTTTAATTGCTGTGGCAACAGCAGTTTTAATTGCTGTGGCAACAGCAGTTTTAATTGCTGTGGCAACTACCACATAAAGAAAACAAGTCTATGTTTGAGGCGCCTCAGAAATAAAGAATTAAACAGCTTTGAGACATTGCCACGACTTCAAACAGGTAGCGGCACACTCACTGCCAATGGGCGGCACACTTACTGCCAAACGGGCGGCACACTCACTGCCGAATTGGCGGCAAACTCCCTGACGAATGGGCGGCAAACTCACTGACAAATGGGCGGCAAACTCACTGACGAATAGGTGGCAAGCTCACTGACGAATGGGCGGCAAACTCACTGACGAATGGGCGGCAAACTCACTGCCGAATGGGCGGCAAACTCACTGCCGAATGGGCGGCAAACTCACTGACGAATGGGCGGCAAACTCACTGACGAATGGGCGGCACACTCACTCCCAAGTGGGCAGCAACAGAAACCGGTAGAGCACCCACTCGTCCTTCATCCCCCTTATAGTCGGCTTCATGGATTCGTCTCGTAACAAAGAAGGCTGCAGATATGTCATATACGATTTCTCGTGCTGCACGATCTTGTTCAAAGTCCTCACTAGCTTGCCAATGGGGGGGAGCTCTCCTGGATGCTGCTTCATATGGGTCTGCAAGGGAATCAGGCATGGGAAGTGGGGGCAAGAGGGCGGCGGTCAGTACGATGTGAGTTGATGCCTCGTGCTGCACAATCCTGTTGAGAGTCCTCACAAGCTTGGTGATGGGAGGGAGCTCCCCTTGATGCTGCTCCATGTGGGTCTGCAATCAGGCAGGCAGAAAGGATACAGCTTTTTCAGGGCCAATTACCCTGCACAAAGCCGTTCATATGAAGCACTTCTGAGACACAAACTTAGTCGCACTGTAATGAATTTCGAGAATTCTCAAAACTCAGGCCAGCGCTCACACCAGCGCTCAAACCAGCGCTCACAGCAGCACTCACAGAAGCACTCATACCATATCTCACGTGCACGAAAGCTGTAAATGGAGCACTTGCCTTCTGCCCTGGTGCTCACCAGAATACCCCCCAGCACTCTCTCACGCCATAACTCACGTGCACGTGCACGAAAGCCGTGCATGGAGCACTTGCCTTCTGCCCCGAATGTTGGTTACCATCACCCACAGCACCAGTAACAGCAAGAATCTCTCACACCACCTCTCACTGCAGCACTCACACCACCTCTCACACCACCTCTCACACCACCTCTCACACCACCTCTCACTGCAGCACTCACTGCAGCACTCACTGCAGCACTCACTCGCACGAGCACGAAGCTGCACAGGGAGCACTTCTGAGTCACGTATCCGCATTGAGTCGACTTTTGAGATTCCTCACTCACACCATCACTCGCACCATCACTCGCACCATCACTCACACCCAGCTTTCATACCAGCACTCACGCGCACGATCACGAAGCTGTAGAGGGAGCACTTCTGAGCCACGTATTTCAGCCGCATCAGCCACGAGGCCATCGCGCCGCTCCACTCCGCTCCGCTCTCTCGGAACTGAACCCTCCTATTACTAGTACTGGCTTAGCTGCTCGTCAGGTGGTTACACGCCGTCTGGTGGTTACCAGTCCTCTCCGCTCGCTCGGGCGGAACTGAACCCTCCTACTACTGGAACTGGCTAAGCTGCTCGTCTTTTGAGGCGCTTCAAAAGACGCTCAGAGCCCGCACGAAAGTGACGCTTCCTGTTACTAGAGTTGGCTTAGCTGCTCGTCAGGTCAGCACGTCTGCTGGTTACCCGTCGTCTGGTGGTTACATCTGGATTGGTGGTTACGCGTCCGTCTGGTGTTTCAAGACGCCAGCGACTGAATGAAATCGGTCAGTGCTATGGCCTTCGAACCGCCTTTATGGACCAGGGAAACAGCAACAGTGGGCGGCGATACTGACGGCAAAGCAGACGGGGTGCACGACAATACGGTACTATCACGGTCAAGCCTAAGCACTGTGTCTGCGAATACTGAGCGACGCGAGCAGTACGACAATACTGACAGCGAATCCTCAAAGTTGGCTGCAGACGCTTGCGAAGCAAATCTGGCGATCGGGTGATGTGATGAATCTATTCGTGAGAAAACGGGGCAGCGCGGATTCGAGACTACTCCCGGTGGCTAATCAGTCAGCCAAAACAGTTCGATAGGCGGAGAGGGATAAGGTGCCCTAGTGGTAGGTACCTATGTGGGTCGGACGGCTGGAGGAGCCATTTTTACATACAATCTGTAAGAACTAGTAAACAGCGGAATGTGACCAGGGGTTCTCGAGGGCGTGTATAGGATACCCTCTAGAGTAGCTGTGGCGGTACACTACAGTTCTTTCTGAAGTTTGTGCGGCGAAGCGCCTAACAAAATTTTGGTAACACAAGTCACGAAGCTTCGCAAATGGGAAACAGAAAATGGCGAGATTCGTGAAGGCTACTGACGCTGTCGCTGGAGAACCCTTGGTTACTCAGATTGTCGACACCTGGTTACCACCTGGTAGTGCCACGGCGGAACAGAGCCATAGGTGTCGCGGTGTTTGTTCGGTGCTGGCACAACTGCTAGGTTGGAATTTGGAAAGGTGACTATGTCACTGGAGGTGTTTGCTCTGGGTTTCTAGGATGTATTTGTGGTAGCGTAGGGCAGGTCTAGGCCGCGTAGACTGAGCGAGTCGCCGACCTGCGAGCCTTTCAATAGTCGACGGCGTAAGCCGAGCGAAGAACAAACCTCCGAACAAATTAATTTGTGACGACACCGAGCGATCCGGGAGGAATGCGTAGGGTGGAGATAGAAAGAAGTGACAGGATTGCCACGTCTCGCTGAGTCAGCGAGAGGGTCTGGAAGCTGAGTGAGTGCGGCGGTGCTGCGGGAGAGAGGAGGAGCGGCGAATCGCGAGCGAATGGGAGTGGGGAGCGGAGAACGGGAGTCACGGTAGGAGCTACTGACGGAGAGCTTTTAGAAATAACAAGGGAGGGAGTGACGGGTTATGTTACAATACCACCTGAGTCTGATGGCACTGTAGCGGAGCAGCCATATTGCGGAAATCAGAGGATCTGGTCGAGGAATGAAGTGGGTGCGTCGCGACTCGTGAAGGCTACTAGTAGGAGGCGAAGCCTAGTTCCTCCTAGTCGTAGAGCGCGCGACCCTTTTGAAAATTCTCAAAAGAGCGACGCGCGACAGAAGCAACATTCTGAGAATACGGCGACGGGATGTAGGCCGACTGTGAGTCAACGAAAGCGTGACGAGGACTGAAAGGGTTCTACATCCAAGAAAGGTATACATGCAGAGATACTATAAGGGCTGTTTCCCGGAGATACTATAAGGGCTGTTTCCCAGAGATACTATAAGGGCTGTTTCCCGGAATCCGTCTGTAAATACTTATTGTTGCGGGCTAGGTCGTAGGAGTGCTAGCAGGAATCTAGCTCCGCGACGTCTAGGTCTAGCAGGAACTTAGGACCAACTATACTAATCGGACTACGCCACTACGCCACCCAAGTTACACAATGATCGCTTTATACTAGTTCCTACTAAAGCTTAGTACATCCACCACCCAACACGTCAACTCCTGTGCATACTGCTGCTACACGACAACGTACTACACCCAACCCAACCACACTCGCGCCGCGTCCTCGTTATCCCCCCCCGTTACAATCCCACTCCATCTCAATGGGTCCTCTCCGCGATCTACAGTACCTTCTCGAACCTTCCTCACTCGCGCTCGTCGCAACCGCGCTCGCCGTCGTTCTCCTTTCCGCGTTCCGCGCGCTCGCGCACGACCGCGAATCCGAGCGCCACCGCGACTTGTCCGCTTCCGCCATAACCCTAGACGCGAACCGCGCGCTGCTGCTCCCGCTGGCGAGCTCCGCGTCGCTCCTGCTCATGTTTTACCTCTTCGCGACGGTTTCGCAGCTGGTTACCGCGTTCGCCGCCGTCGCGTCCGCATCCGCGACCTGCTTCGCCTTGTCCCCGTTAGTAGCGTGGTTGAATACGTCGCTGGGGCTGCAGGATCCGTTAATTACTGTACATTTCCCGTCGTTTTCGCTATGGAATGGCCAACGCAGCAAAAGCAGCAGCAGCAGCAGCGTCAGTGGTAGCAGCAACAGCAGCAGTAACAGGGGTGAGGTTGGCAGTTCATTACTAGGCGACAGCGTGAGAGGAAGAGAGAGCAGAAACGGCAGCGAAGGAAACAACAGGAACAGATCAAATTCTTCCACTGGCAAAACCACCACCAGCGCCACCACAACCACTACTGGCAGCACAAACAGCAGCACCAGCAACACCAGCAACACCAATACCCCCAGCTCTGACAGCAGCAGCAGCACGGTGTTGGGGGCAGTGACTCGCACGCAGCTGCTGCTGGGAGGGCTGAGCGCTGCTCTGGTGCTGTCCTGGCTGGTGTCGGGGCACTGGCTGCTCAACAACGCACTCGGTGCGGCGATCTGCGTGGCGTTTGTCAGCCACGTGCGGCTGCCAAATGTGAAGGTGAGATGGTAATTGTGTGGTATGCACTCAGGCACAGGTGAGGGTGGTGGCGGCAGCAGCAGCACGGTGTTGGGAGCGGTGACGCGCACGCAACTTACTGCTGGCAGGGCTGAGCGGAGCACTGGTGCTGAGTTGGCTGGTGGTGTCGGGGCACTGGCTGTTGAAAAATGCACTCGCTTTTGTCAGCCACGTGCGGCTGCCAAATGTCAAGGTGAGACAGTATTGCTGTTCATGGTATTGCTGTTCATGGTATAATAATCAGTGTTGACAGTGCTGGTGGTGGCGTGGCTGGTGTCGGGGCGCAGGCTGCTCAATAACGCACTCGGCGCTGCTATGTGTGTTGCCTTTGTCAGTCACGTGCGGCTGCCAAATGTCAAGGTGAGGCAGTAAAGCTGTAGCAACAGGATGACAAGGTAACAGTGCTGATGGGGTACCGAGTGGAATGCTGGTCTGGTGGTGGCGTGGCTGGTGTCGGGGCACTGACTGCCCAATAACGAACTTGGTGCTGCCATTTTGTTGCTTTTGTGAGCCACGTGCGAGGTGACTTTTGAGTCGACTCAAAAGTCACTGACTGCCCAACTACGAACTCGGTTTGTGCAGCCATCTTTGTTGCTTTTGTCATGTGCGCCTGCCCAACGTGAAAGTGAGACAGTAACATTGTTTGTAACCGGTAACAGGATTAGTGCTGGTGCTGAGCTGGCTGGTGTCGGGGCATTGGCTGCTCAATAACGCACTCGGTGCTGCCACTTTGTTGCTTTTGTGAGCCACGTGCGCATGCCGAATGTGAAGGTGAGGTAGTAACCGTGTGGTGGCATCAGGACAAACAACAGGGTAACAGGGTATTATTGCTATGCTGGCTGCTCAACAATGCCCTTGGTGCCGCCACCTGTGTGGCGTTTGTCAGCCACGTACCACTCCCCAACGCCAAGGTGAGGTGAGTTAGTATTGTCGTTATGGCGTGGTAATGGCGAGTCTCCCGTTTCATCACAATGAAGCATGCGACCTTATCCAAGCCTGAATGCATGATTTCTTTCAGGGGCAATGGAACTAATTTTTTTCGCACCCAGCCTTGCCTGATTCCTTTTGGAGAATTCAGTAGCCAGCAAACACGAATATTTGTCGTTGTATAACATTTCGAGCCAGGTAGCATGCCGGAGCAGACTCAGAAAATTTGGAAGGCTGAGAGTGCAGCAGCAGTTCCCCAAGCTAGTTTCACACCCGCAACCTCTCCCACTCACTCGCTCACTCGGTCCCATCTTTCACCCACTTTCTCCCACCCTCTCCCTCCCATGTTTTCCCCTCCTGCTCCCATTGCCCCACCTGCCTTCTCTTCTCTCCCTCTCCAGGTGTGCGCCCTCCTCCTCGCCTGTCTATTCGTGTACGACATCTTCTGGGTGTTCTTCTCACACCCACACACACACTGTGCACTCCTCAACCCCCTCTCACACTCATCCCATCTCAGGTGTGTGCGCTCCTCCTGGCGTGTCTATTTGCGTACGACATCTTCTTGGTGTTCTTCTCACACCCACACCCATCCCACCCATTCATACCCCTCCCTTCTTCAGGTCTGCGCCCTCCTCCTGGCGTGTCTATTCTTGTACGACATCTTCTGGGTGTTCTTCTCACACCGCTTCTTTGGAGCCAACGTGATGCTCTCAGTCGCCACGCAGCACGCCCACAACCCCGCCCACTCCGTCTCCCAACCAGTTGCCCACTCAGTTGCCCACTTGCTCCCATCTTCCCCCCTCGTTCTCCTACCTCTCCCCTCCATAGTTCCCCCTTCCGCCCCACCACCTGCCTTCTTTTTCCCCCTCTTTCTTCAGGTCTGCGCCCTGCTCCTGGCGTGTCTATTCTTGTACGACATCTTCTGGGTGTTCTTCTCACACCGCTTCTTCGGAGCCAACGTGATGCTCTCAGTCGCCACGCAGCACGCCCACAACCCCGCCCACTCTGTCGCTCACTCTCTCCACCTGCCCTCTGCTGTAGCAAAATCGATCGTGAGGGAGATTGAACTTCCCGTGAAGCTGCTGTTCCCGAGGGACCTGTTTGGAGAGCTGAACATCTTCGGGAGGCAAGAACGAGGGAGGGCACGCGATTTCATGGTGCTGGGCCTCGGAGATATGGTGAGCTGGTTGCTGCAATCGCGGGTAGAGAGACGACTTTTGAGGCGCCTCAAAAGTCGGAGATATGGTGAGTTGGTTGCTGCAATCGCGGGTAGAGAGACGACTTTTGAGGCGCCTCAAAAGTCGGAGATATGGTGAGCTGGTTGCTGCAATCGCGGGTAGAGAGACGACTTTTGAGGCGCCTCAAAAGTCGGAGATATGGTGAGTTGGTTGCTGCAATCGCGGGTAGAGAGACGACTTTTGAGGCGCCTCAAAAGTCGGAGATATGGTGAGTTGGTTGCTGCAATCGCGGGTAGAGAGACGACTTTTGAGGCGCCTCAAAAGGCACGCGATTGCATGGTGCTGGGCCTCGGAGATATGGTGAGCTGGTTTTTGAGGCGCCTCAAAAGTCGGAGATATGGTGAGCTGGTTTTTGAGGCGCCTCAAAAGTCGGAGATATGGTGAGTTGGTTGATGCAATCGTGTTTGGATGCCCTCCTGCGCTGCGCCTGCCCTCCGCAGTGATGCTCTCAGTCGCCACCCAGAACGCCCACAACCCTGCCCACTCCGTCGCTCACTTGCTGCACCTGCTTTCTGCAGTGGCGCGGTCTATCGTTAGAGAAATCGAGCTGCCCGTGAAGCTGCTGTTCTTGAGGGACCTGTTCTGAGAGCTCAACGTCTTTTCAGGGCAGAGAGGGAGAGCGCGGGACTTGATGGTCCTTGGACAAGGCGATATGGTGAGTTGTTAGAATCAAGTTCGGAAGTTGGAAGCCCACCCGGTCGGGCACTCAAGGTGACTCTTGAGTCTGACTCAGGAGTCACCACGCAATCGCGCACTCTCTCTGCGCCTGCCCGCCACAGTGGCGGGGCCCATCATGAGGGAAATCGAGAGATAGAGCTGCCCGTGAAGCTGCTGTTCCCACGGGATCTGTTTGGAGAGTTTGAGGGACTCTGAGGATAGAGGGCGCGGGATTTTTATGGTGCTGGGACTGGGCTGGGCGACATTGTCAGTTGCGGTGCGCTTTTGAGTCGACTCAAAAGCATTGTCAGTTGCGGTGCGGGTATGAGGGTTGAGATTCTCGGAATGAGGATATTGTGAGCGTTGGGTAGCATGTTTGGAGGCAGGGTGATCGATGCTGCACGCGAAATAGAGTTGACTTTTGAGTCGACTCAAAAGTCATATTGTGAGCGTTGGGTAGAATGTTTGGAGGCAGGGTCATTGATGCTGCACGCGAAATAGAGTTGACTTTTGAGTCGACTCTAAAGTCATATTGTGAGCGTTAGGTAGCATGTTTGGAGGCAGGGTGATCGATGCTGCACGCGAAATAGCTTCAATTCCTGTTCTTGAAATTTCCCCTACCAGCATGCTGCTGGCTCTTGTGCTGTGCGTGGAGCAGCACAAGAGACGGCAGTAGCAGGGTGGGGAACAGCAGAGTGAGGTGCAGTGCAGCAGCAGCACGGGTTGAGAGGGCGTTTTATAAGTACAAACAACCTCTCCTCTTTCCCGTCTCCACCCCTGCAGGCTATACCAGGCATGCTGCTGGCCCTTGTTCTGTGTGTAGACCAGCACAAGAGGCGGCAGCAGCAGGAGGAGCAGCAGGAGCGGGAACTGGAGGTACTAGAGGCAGGGAAGGGAGGGCAAGAGCAGCACCAAGAGCCGCCTGGGCCTTCCCATTCACAAAATTCTCAGGAACATTCCGAGCAGCACTCTCAGCAGCAGCAGCACTCTCAGGGCAGCTTGAGTCGACCACTACTGGACTCTTCGCCTTCAGCGAGGGAGCGGGGGAGTGGGCAGCTGGGCTATGTGTGGGTGGCAGCATTGGGGTATGCGGTGGGGCTTGTGGCTGCTCTAGCTGCTGGCGTGCTGACTAGATCGCCTCAACCTGCCCTGCTATACCTGGTACGTTGTCCACACTACTGCCTGATAATTGATATGCGGAGCACAATTCTCCCTGCTGGTTGGTATGTCAATGTGCTGTGGGTGCACCGTGCAACCAAGTGGGGTATGCCATGGGGCTTGTGGCTACTGTGGCTGCTGGCGTGCAGATCAAATCATCTCAGCACAAGCCACAAGCCCCACGGCACAAGCCGCAAGTGGGGTATGCCATAGCAGCCTGCCGGCACAGCCACAATGGCTCATCCTGCGCTTTTTTTTTTTTTTTTTTTTTTTTTTTTTTTTTTTTTGGTAGGTGAACGTGCATTATACAACGTACAACGCAAAAACACCGTCGGTCATAACCGTAGCTAGAGGGTATAGGTAGCGTAAGTGTCTACCGTACCCTCCCAGATTCCTATGGAGGTTTAAAAGTCAAGTGCCTAAACACTTTGTCTTGCCCGTTTGGGGCTACCTTTGCAGAGTTGCCACCCTTGAGATCGGGTAGAAAATTGTTGACGCTTTCTTGCCTTCTTCGTTGCTTCAACTTTGGTTGGGACTTGACCTGCCGAGTGTGATGAGGCTTGGTTGGAGCCAATCTTGCCTTGTTTTGAATGCGGTGTAGAGTGGTATCCGCTGCAATGATGCTTGGTTGAACTCGTAACTGCTGCTGGTAGATAGATCTGGTTGTACCCAACTTCTCCTGACGCCGACTTTGAATGAAAATTGCAGCAGCTGCTGCACCCGCTCTGACCACCATACCACAACTTTTTGAACGGTGGAGAGCGGTGACAGCCGCACATGCCTTCTGATGTACCCACAATCTTCGCTTGAATTTCCTGACAGATGCTGCTCTAAATGACTTAGGAAAAAATGCACTAGGTACGGCTCTGTCATTGCCTTGAAACTTCCTTGATGGCTCCATAGCACGATCAGGTTCTATGGCGTCACGCCATAAATCAGTATCATCAACAGTTAAAAATACTTGAGGGTTTCCAGTTGTAGGATCTGCCATGTTGATCAAACCACCTTTAATCATGCCTGCAACAACAACCTCCCCTTCCTTCCAGCCATTGTGATCCAACTTATAAGACGCAGTTCTTTCAGTTGTTGTAGCCGCGCTGAAAATAGGTAGATCTTCGCAGTCTGAAAATGCAAACGCTGTTGTATTCTTCAAACACAACTCTGATCCGGGAGAGAAAGAACTCTTCGTAGTAAACCGCCATGACGAGTAGAGAGCTTCAGATCCGGGGACGTTTTGGAAATAAGCTTGAATCTTAAGAATAAGAGAAGTCGTCGCTTGATTCCGTGTAGCTTCAGCTTTAAAATGTTGTTGTCGAATGGCAGCAAAGGCCGACATTCTGAAGACGTTATGCTGGATATTCCTTGTGTACTTGTATTTCCAGCCTTGGCTTGCACCTGTATTGATCTTATGATGCCATCTTGGATGTCCTGAAACTTGTATGCAGTTTAAGAACTCAGATAAGGATTTTTTCAGGAGAAGCTACGATGGCCGAATGTTCGGCTCATCCTGCGCTGCTCTGCCTGCTCTTCCCTGCTGTGATTTTCATGTTGCTCTGTGTTGGTGTGATTGGTTGGTATGTAACTTTTGAGTCGACTCAAAATTCATCTCTTCCCTGCTGTGATTTTCACGTTGCTCTGTGTTGGTGTGATTGGTTGGTGTGTAACTTTTGAGTCGACTCAAAATTCATCTCTTCCCTGCTGTGATTTTCACGTTGCTCTGTGTTGGTGTGATTGGTTGGTGTGTAACTTTTGAGTCGACTCAAAATTCATCTCTTCCCTGCTGTGATTTTCACGTTGCTCTGTGTTGCTGTGATTGGTTGGTGTGTGTCACGAGCCTTCGACCCTCGTTCCCGTGTCGCTAGTGGCATGGAGAAGCTGGGAGACGAGACAGCAGATTTCCATGCTGCTTCGTGCTCCTCCCTCCCTTGCCCATTTCCTCCTGGCCCTCTCTCCTCCCTCCCTTGCCCATTTCCTCCTGGCCCTCTCTCCTCCCTCCTGCCTCCACCCTCCCTTCAGGTGCCTTCCACTCTCGGCCCCGTGTCGCTGGTGGCGTGGAGAAGAGGCGAGCTGGCAGATCTGTGTTACATGCTACCTCTTGCTCCCCCTCCCTCACCCATTTCCTCCTGTCCTTCTCGCCTGCCTCCTGCCTCCACCCTCCACGCTCCCTTCAGGTGCCCTCCACGCTCGGCCCCGTGTCGCTGGTGGCGTGGAGCAGAGGCGAGCTGGCAGATCTGTGGGATGGCTCGCCTGGCCTCATGCCGTTCGACCGGGACAAGCTGGAAACTCTGGATGTCTGACAGTCTGACTAGTGGACTCTTAAATACCATCTCTTGGTGTCGCTGGTGGCATGGAGAAGGGGCGAGCTGACTGATATGTGGGACGGTTCGCCTGGCGTCGTGCTGTTCGACCGGGACAAGCTTGAAACGCTGGATGTTTGACTGGCGAGGGCGATTTGATTTGAGTCGTAAAGAATGTCACCAACGGGGGCAAGCAAGCATGGAACACTCGACGTCAGACTGAATTGCTCTCATACACCATCTCCCTGTGTTGCTAGTGGCGTGGAGAAGAGCTGGCCTGGGATGGGATCTGCCAGGGCTGGCATTCTTGTGGGATGGCTAGCCTGCTTGCTTGACTGAGACAAGCTTGACTGACATGACATCTCTTGGGCCTACTGCAGTCCTGGTTTAGCCCATTCGTAGCATTGAACAGTATTGATTCGGATGTAGCTTTCATGGCATAATATGAATCAATTACGGTACCTTTCATCCATTGAAGAAGCATTGTGCTGTACCGTACCAAGCCAGAGCCTTTTTCATACACCATCTCCTTTTTGTTTTTTTTTTTTTAATTATTATTATTGTGGTTTTGGAAGGTCGCACTTTCAAAATATCACAATAAAATCTTCCAGTCCTTCTACATCACGAGGAAAATGTCCTGGCTTCTGGCTTTGAATGATCACACCAACCATGCCCTCATACCGTAATACCCCGGATAGAAGAGCACCTGCGCTTATAATAAAACATTGTTTTTTGGGGGGGTGCGCTTACAATTGAGTCAGATTTATAAGCGCATGCGCTTATAAAATGACAATTACAGAAATGTGTTTTAAATTCACCAAACTATACATCTCTGTCGTGCAATTTCAATCGAATCAGAACATTACAGCGTCCCACATCAGAGAATTGCGCGAGGGCGATTTCAGGCGCCGCACGGGGGCGAGGACACGTCACAACGCAGAGGGATGTGTCAAGCTCGCCCCGAACCAATGTACGAGCCAGTCGCACGGAGTCGCTTGATCGCAGCGCAGAGGCACAGTCGTTCCCGAGCCCCCCCGCCTGCCCCTTTTTCGCTCGCACAACGCACAGGACAGTCGTTTCCAGTGCCCATCTTCCCTCCCCCCCCTCCCAACGATGTGCTGTCAGTCAGTCAGCTTCACGCCGTTTCGCTTCTCCTGCGAATCGCTCGCCCTTGAGCGAGTCAAACAAGTAGGAACGGATCTGGACTCGCTGCAAAAAGGGAAATCGTTACTGTATTAATTAGGATTTAATAGTAGAATTATTGATGCGCTTATAATAAGTCAAGGTTTTACAGGGGGTGCGCTTATAATTGAGGATCGGCCATAAGCGCATTGCTCCAGATATAAGCGCATGTGCTTAACATAGGCCTGCGCCTATATCCGGGGCCATACGGTATGTCAGGGTAAAACCATTTATAACCCTTGATTTTTTTGTATTGGTAGGTGTTGCTGATTCCTGAGATTTTAGGGTAACTGATGTGCATTGCCTACACTTTCATTATATTCTATTGTGCAAGCCCTGAGATTTCAGAGGGTTGTGCCGCTTAACGCCCTGGGGTTTCTGGGTATATCTGAAGACAATCCTAACTTGTTTCTGGCCCGGTCTGGCCTTGTCGGGCATGGTCTTGCATAGTTTGGGGCCTGGTACGCCTGTTCGTCGTGCTGCTGTGGCCTGATCAGGAAGGACTGCTACCGTATATACTGCTCTGTTGTGACATGCTGTGACCTGGTCTGGCCTTGTCGGGCGTGGTCTTGCAAAGATTGGGGCCTGGTACGCCTTTTCGTCATGCTGCTGTGGCCTAATCAGGACTGTTATATACTGCTATGTTGTGACATGCTGTGACCTGGTCTGGCCTGGCTGTGTCTTCACTGGTATGGCCTAGTTTTGTTTCATCTGGCCCTCTCTGACCTGATAAGGCCTCCTGTCCTCTGTCCTGGTCGGGCCTGGTCAGGTGCAAGTGTTTCCAGATGCAACCCATATGTGTTGTTGAGCAGCCAGTGCCCCCGAGCGACACCAGCCACGCCAGCACGCCAGCACCAGCACCCAACTCGGCACTCCCCGCACCAGCGTTGATACGCGGTTACCTGTTACCCGCTATGCTGCTGCTACAGCAATGCATCACCATCTCACCTTCACATTCGGAAGCCGCACGTGGCTCACGAAAGCAACACAGTTGGCGGCACCGAGGGCGTTGTTGAGCAGCCAGTGCCTCGACACCAGCCAGCTCAGCACCAGCGCTGCGCTCAGCACTCCCAGTAGCTGCACTGTTGACACTGATACCATGTACAGCATTTCCGTCTCACCTTGACATTGGGAAGGCGCACGTGGCTGACGAAAGCAACACAAATAGCGGCGCCGAGTGCATTATTCAGCAGCCAGATCCCCCACGCCAGCCAGCTGAGCACCAGCACTGCTACTCTGTTACCTGTTACTTTGGTGCTACAGCGGTACCATCTCACCTTCACGTTGGGCAGTCGCAGGTGGCTGACAAACGCCACACAGATGGCAGCGCCGAGTGCATTATTCAACAACCAGTGCCCCGACACCAGCCAGCTGAGCACCAGCACGCCACTCAGCCCTCCCAGCAGCAGCTGCGTGCGCGTCACCGCTCCCAACACCGTAATGCCGCTGCTGTCAGTGCTGGGGGCTCATGGTGGGAATATAAGGGCTGCTGCTGCTGCTGCTGCTGCTGGTGTTGGTGGTGCTGGTGCTGCTGTTTGTGCTGCCAGTGCTGGTTGTGGTGGTGCTGGTGGCGGTTTCGCCAGTGGAAGAATTGCTTCTGTTCTTGTTGTTTCCTTCGCTGCTGTTTCTGCTCTCTCTTTCTCTCACGCTGTCGTCTAGTAATGAGCTGCCACCCTCACCCCTGCTGCTGCTGATGCTGCTACCGCTGCTGCTGCTGCTGTTGCTGCTGGTGTTGCTACGTTGGCTACTCCATAGCGAAAACGACGGAAAATGTACAGTAATCAGCGGATCCTGCAGCCCTAGCGACGTATTCAACAACGCTACTAACGGGGACAACGCGAAGCAGGTCGCGGACGCGGACGCGACGGCCGCGAACGCGGTAACCAGCTGCGAAACCATCGCGAAGATGTAAAACATGAGCAGGAGCGACGCGGAACTTGCCAACGGGAGCAGCAGCGCGCGGTTCGCGTCTAGGGTTATGGCGGAAGCGGACAATTCGCGATGGCGCTCCGATTCGCAGTCGTCCGCAAGCGCGCGGAATGCGTAGAGGAGAACGACGGCGAGCGCGGTTGCGACGAGCGCGAGCGATGAAGGTTCGAGAAGGTACGGTAGATCGCTGAGGGGACCCCATTGCGACGGAGTGGGATTATAACGAGAGGGATCTAAATGAGGACACGCGCGCGTGTGGCTGAGTTGGGTGTAGTACGGTAATTGATGCGTTGCTGCGTAGTAGCAGTGTGCACAACCGAAATCCGAGGAGCCTCAAAGGTCATTCCGTCGCGGTATTCTCAAAACGTTGCGTCCGTCACGCGTCGCGCGCGCGCCGATTGGAGGAACTACTAGGCCTCACCTCCTACCGATGGTCCTCGCGAGTTGCGACTCGGACCACCTCGGGTACTACCGCCGCGCACACTGTCGCCTCAGCCTACTACCGTAGCATATCCGTCTCTCCATCATTCGCTAACAGTCGTCTTGTGTTTTCTGAAGCGCTCCGTCAAGAGCTTCCTCACGCACTCACTCCCTCACTCACTCCCTCACTCCCTTTCTCCCTCACTCCATATCTCTGGTCCGCCGCTACCCACCCCCACTCGCTCGCGACTCGTAAGCTCCTGCTTCTCTCTCCCGCAGCACAGTCGCCCTCAGGTTATAAACTCAGCGTGTACTCTTTCCACCCTGCGCAACCCTAGCTGCTCGCACGGTGTCTCACAAACTTGATGGTTTGGAGCTTACCTACTCGCTCACTCTACGTCGTCGGCAGTCAAATAGTTCACAGGTCGGCGACTCGCACAGGCTACGCGGTCTAGACCTGCCTTACGCCGTCCAAAATGCCTCCTGAAAACCCGGAACAAACAATCTTAGAAACTATCACCTAACCGTTCACTGCTGCGACTCGTAATGCGGGATTCACTGGGGGAACGAATCTACGGCCTTGTCCTCGGGCACTCAGATAGCGAACTATGCCGAGGGTGCTTTATGGTAACTACGTTTCGAGAATTTGAGTAAACGTGTTCGAGAAGCAGTTCATTGGCCTTCACGACCGTCGTTATTGACGGCTTTCTCGTTTCCTGCCAACCGTCATTTGCGAAACTCCCACGAGAACAATGTGGGTTGCCTCCCAATTTCTAAGCGCAACAAAATAGAACGCCCAGCCGAATGACATGCTGCGCCCTCGCATCAATCCGCTAATATATATTTCCTAATTATTCGTAGCAAACTAGGTAGACATGGCTCCTTCAGCCATCCCGTACACATACCTTAGAAAGAGGGGACGATAAGGGATATAACACCTTATACCTCTTTCGATGGTCTCTTGCGTCTCCATCTGTCCTTGGCTGTTCGAGTAGCAGGGGGTGCAGTAGTCTCGTATCGCGCTGCTCGTTTCTTGCAGCGAGTAGATTCAACGCGCGATCGTCACTTGATGGCCAAATCTGTTTCGCAGTCGTCTGCTGCTGCGTATCTTCTCTGTAGAAAACCCTAGAATCTGAGGCTTTGGCCGTCAGTATCGTCGTTTAGCCGTCTCAGAAACAACTCCTTTTCACGAGGCTTTGCCGTCGCTGTTATCGTGCTCGCATCGCTTGTTCTCGACATTGGTTAGCGGTTTTCGCTCATACGATCAGACACGGTGCACTAAAGCCACTCCCGGCGTCGAAGCCGCGTCGCCTGCTTTGCCGACCGTATCGTTACTCTTGCTGCTTCGCGTGCTCGTGAATGCGGTTCGAGGATCATACCGTTGAGCGATTTCAACCGCTGCCGTTGAAATAGCAGACGACGGGTAACCACCAGACGAGCGGATCTGACGAGCAGCTAAGCCATCCCTA